ATAACATAGGAGATCTTACCATCTTCTAAGTTCTTCTTCAATTTCTTTCTTTAGTGTTCTTTTGTCCGATTGATTCCAAAATTTTTAAATATATTTTTGGGGTACAAGGGATTAAACTCAGGAGCACCCAACCACCCAGCCACATCCCCAACCCTATTTTATATTTTATTTAGAGACAGGCTCTCACTGAATTGCTTAGCACCTTGCATTTGCTGAGGCTGGCTTTGAACTTGCAATCCTTCGACCTCCGCCTCCTAAGCCATTGGTATTACAGGCATGTGCCACTGAGCCAGGCCCAAATATTTTATTTTTTTGAGGCTATTGTGAATGGGGTAGTTTTCCTAATTTCTTGTTCAGTGGATTCATCACTGATGTATAGAAATATGTTTGATTTATTGATGTTAACTTTATATCCTACTACTTTGCTGAATTCATTTATGAGTTCTAGAAGTTTTCTGGTCGAGTTTTTTTTATCTCTAAATACAGAATCACAGCATCAGCAAATAGTGATAGTTTCAGGGCATCTTTTCTTATTCGTAGCCCTTTAATTTCTTTCTTCTGTCTAATTGCTCTGGCTAGAGTTTCAAGGACAATGTTGCAGAGAAGTGGTGAAAGACAGCATCCCTGTCTTATCCTGTTTTTCGAAGGAATTCTTTCAATTTTTCTGTTTATAATGATATTGGCCTTGGGTTTGGCATAGATAGCTTTTGCAATGTTGAGGTGTGTTCCTACTATCCCTGGTTTTTCTAGTGTTTTAAATGTGAAGAGGAGCTGTATTTTGTCAAATGCTTTTCTGCATCAGTTGAGATGATCATGTGCTTCTTGTCTTTAAGTCTATTGATGTGATTAATTATGTTTGTTGATTTCTAGCTGGACCTGGTGGCGCACACCTGTAATCTCAGTGGCTTGGGAGGCTGAGGTAGAAGGATTGGGAATTCAAAGGTAGCCTCTGCAAAAGCAAGCTGTTAAGCAACTCAGTGAGACCCTGTCTCTAAATAAAATACAAAATATGGCTGGGGATGTGGTAGAGTGGTCAAGTGCCCCTGAGTTCAATCCCCAGTACCAAAGATAAATAAATAAATAAATAAATAAATGCAATGATTTCCATATGTTGAACCAACCTTTCATGTTTGGAATGAACCCCACTTGACCATGGTGCACTACCTTTTCAATATGCTTTTTGTGATTTTCCAGAATTTTATTGAGAATTTTTGTATCTATATTTATCAGGGATATTGGTCTGAAGTTTTCTTTCCTTGATGTGTCTTTGTCAGGTTTTGGTATCAGGGTGATACTAGTCTCATAGAATAAGTTTGGAAAGTTTCCCTCCTTTTCTATTTCATGCAATAATTTGAGAAGTATTGGTGTTAATTCTTTTCTGATGGTCTTGTAGAACTTGACTGAGAATCAGTCTGGTCCTGGGATTTTCTTGGTTGGTAGGCTTTTGATCTTCAATTTCATTGCTTGAAATTTATATGTTTAAATTTTCTGTGTCCTCCTGGTTTAATTTGGGTAGGTCATATGTCTCCAGAAATTTGTCACTGTCTTCAATATTTTGTATTTTATTACAGTATAAATTTTCAAAATAGTTTCTGATTATTGTCTGTATTTCAGTAGTGTCTGTTGTAATATTTTCTTTTCATTATGAATATTAGTAATTTGAGTTTCCTTTCTCTTTATTAGCTTGGCTAAGTGTTTATCAATTTTATTTATTTATTTCAAAGAACCAACTTTTTGTTTCATTGATTTTTTTGGATTTTTTTCTTTCAATTTCATTGGTTTCAAATCTGATTTTAATTATTTCCTGTCTTCTGCTTTTGGTGTTGATTTGTTTTTCTTTTTCTTGGACTTTGAGATATAATGTTAGGTTATTTATTTGATTATTTTATTTGGTTACTCTCTATTATTTTAATGAGCTCAACTTTCCTTGAGGAGTGTGCTTTTGAAGGGATATTAAGACCCTGGCCCCTCCACTTTGCTTCCTGGCCATTATGGGAGGTATGAGGTATTCTACCACATACCTCCCACCTTAGCACAGGCCCCAAAACAATGGTTTCAAGCAACTATGAAACCTCTGCTATAGTGAATCAAAGTAAATATTTCCCCCTTTTAACTTGATTATTTCAGAATTTTGTCACTGCAACAGATCTCTAACATATCATCTTTGTCATACAAAATAGATATCCATAGGTTCTGGGGATTAAGATATGGACATCTTTGGTAGATTATTATTTTGTCCAGCACAGAGAGTATTAGTTATAAATACTTGTCAATCACTTTATAGCAGTGTATTGACATTTCTCATCATTTTATAGCTGTCTAGTACTGGACTGCATAGGTATATCGTAGTTTATTCAATTAGTCCCCTTTTAATGAACATTGGTTTGTTTCAAAATTTTACCTTGAATTCCTCAACAAATAATCTTAAATATTTTATATTTTGGTCCATGTGTTTTTGAGATGGATTTATGTGAATTTGCTATATAGTATTACTTTCCTAGATTAGGGTCTCTATCATTTCGCATTTCCATCAGGTATGTATGGGAGTTTCTCTTTCTTTAAAAACAAAGTATACTGTCAAACTTCTGGATTACTGCTACTCTACCTGATAAGTTATCTGTTTTTATTTGTTTGTTTGCTTGTTTTTTTTTTTTTTTTTTTGTACTGGAGATTGAAAGGAAAGTGACCACAACACTCAGAGCAACCAAAAGATCTTTATTGCAGCAGTGCAACAGAGGAGAAAAAAGAGAGAAAGGGGTGGTGGCAGGGGAAGGTTTTTATAGCCCTTCTGCTGTGCTGCCTAAATCTAACAGGGTCTCTGGGTTTGCAAGCTGCGTTGTTGGCACAAGAAGGGTTAAGTGTTCAGCCTTGGGGAGAGGGGGGTTGAGTGTTCAGCCTTGAGCAGGGGCTTGGGTGTTTGAGCTTGAAGCAAACAGGTGATAAAGAACCAGATTGAGGGTTTGAGTGGTCAGGTCACCCTGCAGCTAACTTTGTCTGGCATGCCCTGCAGATAATTTAGTTCAGCCTGTCCTGCACCTAACAGAGATTGAACCCAGAGATGCTTTTCCACTGAGCTACAACCGGATCCTTTTCTTTTTTTTTCATTTTGAGACACGGGTCTCAACTGTATTGCTGAGGCTGGCCTCAAACTTGAGATCTTCCTCCCTCAGCCTTCAGTCACTGGGACTTATAAGCCCGGGACACCGAGCTCGGCTACTGTTAATTTTCTATCCTGTGAATTTACCAAGTAATCTTTTTGACACTTAATTGAACTACGTGTGTTTTCAGATGTGTAATTACATTGTAAGCACATAAAAGGGCGCTTGAGAGAATCGCTGACGTTGAAAAAGTCAGCAAAACCCATCAAGTTGGCATAAATCTGGGCAGAGGTCCCTTCACTATCTGAAGCATTCATTCAGAAAGGACGTCAGAACATCCTTTTGAGGGACCTGGAATCTCAGTGATGCAGAAACCGAAATAAACTTGAGCGGAGAATGAGAGAATCCCTATCCTCAGATCGGCTCTGCAGGCGCGGATCAGCGCTAGGGTGGAGGTAAGTGGGACAATGGCCGGGTAAAGACAAGGAAGAAGAAAAACCCATTCAAGCCTTTGAGAATACCCAGCCTAGCTCCCAGGAGCGCAAGGGATGAAACCATCGAGTGAAAACCCCTCTCGCCCCTTCCTAGAGCTGCCATGGAAATGCGCCCCACACAGGCAGAGCCAGCCGGCCCTCCACACGCAGCGGCCTTTGTAAGTTTCCATTGGTGGGCTCTGGGTGTCGTAGAGTGTCGAGTACTCAGCCCTTCGCTCCCGAGGAGGACGTCCTCTGCTGGTCCCCTGGGGGCGGGGGTGAGCAAACATGTGCTCCTGAAGTAACTGGAGGGGTGTCGGGGTTGGGATAGGGGTATTGTTGCGTTTCCTCAGCGTGGGCGGCTCAAGCTCGGCTCCTGCTGTTGCGCGTCTGCGCGATCCTCCTCTGCCTCGGCTGCCGGCGGCCGGGTGGCGAGCCTATCTAATACAATACCTCAGGGTCGTTCCGCCGGCCCTTGTACAGATCTGAGCCTGGGATGAAGGAGCTGTCCCCGGCAGCTTCGATGAGCCGGGCTGTACTTTCCGAGTTTGTCTCAAGGCCTCCTGAGGCACTGTGTCCTCGGGTTCGGAGCTTCGCAACATTTCTGGACACTCTTGGGTTACAGACGCTGGTCCGCGGCATAGAACGCTTTTCTGAGTTTACCTTTCCTTAGAATACATAAATCGAGGGTATAAGAAAGCTTTAAAGAGTAATCTCTCCAGCCTTTTCACTTAATAAATGAAGAATGAAGTGCAGAGTAAGTCCCGGATGACGTAATATCCTGCGAATGCGCTGCTTTTATGATTTTATGGTTTCCACCAGACATCAGACATTTTAAAATCCTATAAAAACAACTGATCAAGTCGGTTGTGGTGGCTTATGTAATTCCAGCGACTTGGAGGCTGAGGCAAGAGGATCCCAAGTCTGTGGCCTGTCTGGGTAATTTAACGAGACCTTGTTTCAAAAAAGGCAGCTGTGGGGGCCGCCAGGGGTTGTACCAATGGGTAAGGTGACCCTGGGTTCAATCCCTACTTCAGCTAAATAAATAAATAAAGCAAGTAATCAAGTGTATCCCAACTTTAAAAAATAATCTGCTTTTTTGAATGTTAGTTTTATTCCACTTAATTGTCCTTTTAAAAAATGTTTCCTGTCTTACTCCTCCTTTCTTAAAAGTCCTGAAACAACTTGGCAAGTTTCCGGTAGTCTTTCATTTAGTCTATTCCGAAGGATTTTCTATCCAAGCACATATTTCCCTGAGTATAAGTAAATTAACCTGGAAGCAGGCTTTCATGACTCATACTTAATTTTTTAATATTGGCAGTCATTGTGTACTGTAAGTTGTGTTCATAGTGCTGGCTTATTCTTCAGGTCCATTCAGGAAGAACTTTTCCAGGAGAGATCTTACTGATAGAGCTTTTGCACAACTATAATGTCATCTACTTGGAATATCCAGGCCAAAAAGGACCAGGAAGAACTTCTGGAAGTAAAGATAGAGGACCAGGAGGAGGAAGAGAATAAATATACCTCCAGACAGGATGAGAGCCTTCAAAAGAACAACAGAGAGGTCTTTCGACAATACTTCAGGCAGTTCTGCTACCAGGAAACATCTGGACCTCGGGAAGCTTTGAGCCGACTCCGGGAGCTTTGCCATCAATGGCTGAGGCCAGAGACTCACACCAAAGAACAGATCCTGGAGCTGCTGGTGCTGGAGCAGTTCCTGACCATCCTACCTGAGGAACTTCAAGCCTGGTTACAGGAGCAGCATCCAGAAAATGGAGAGGAGGTGGTGAATGTGCTGGAAGATTTAGAGAAAGAGCTAGATGAACCAGGATATCAGGTAAGAAAAAAGATGTGATTTCTGTTTGAGAAAAGGTAAACTGTGCTGGTTGCAGGCAAATACCTGTAAGCCCAGCTATTTGGGAGGCTGAGGCAAGAGGATGACAAATTCAAGCCAAACTGGGCAATATAGCAAGACATGGTCTTAAAATAAAAAAATTAAAAGTTCTGGGGATGTAGTTCATGGTATAGCACCTCTGGATTCAACCCCCAGTACCAAAAAAAAAAAAAAAAAAAAAAAAATGTGTATTCTAGATCAAAGTGAAGTGTGGCATTGTTTCACAAAGCATCTTGACACTTTGATGCATCAGAAAGGGATATGAGTTTCATGGAAAATTGGTTAATGTCATCTTAGTTTATTTATACCTTTTCTGTAGAGCGTTTTTGTATTTCTGTGTTCTGTACTTAACTAAAAATTTCTATTTGATGAACATACTGCTCAACTTAGAAACAAGACTTCTAATATAGAGAGAGTATTAAAGAGTAGAGGGAGAAGCTGTTAGGTAGCAAGGTAGAAAGCAGCCTCTTGAAAGAGGTGTTCCATACAAAATAAATAAGAAATGTGGTTTAAGCCTGATATATGCATGTGTGGAAATATCATAGTGAATCCACTGATTTGTACAATTAATGTTATTGAATAATTAAAAAACAAAACTTGTAATAATTAAGAAATTGTCATATGGTTTTGTAAATATAGCCACTGCTCTGATTCTCCATTATAAGATGAAAAGATGGAGAAATAAAAATCACCATGCCTGAAGAATGAGATATAGGAGTAGAATGAAAAATTAGGAGAGAAGGGCAGGGTGAGGGATCCTTGTTTCTCTGAGTAGTAAAAGGCCCAATTATGTTGGAAAGGTGAGTTGTGAGTGAAAGAGTTGAGATAATCAAGGATATTAACTATCTGTCTCTAAAGTTAGATTTTCTTCTGTAGGACAGAGGATAGGCTCTAAACCTTTTCTCCTTGAGTCTAAGTGAGATTTATTACTAAAAAAATAATTTAAAAAAAAGAGATAAAAGAGAACCAAATTATTTAGATCCTATTTGTTTTGAGACAAGTTCTCACTAAGTTGCTGAGGCTGACCTTGAATTTGTAGTCCTCCTGCCTCAGTCTCCAGAGTGGTTTTTGTTTTCTTTTAATGATGATATAAGACTGTGATTCTCAACCAGTGGGTAATTTTATGCTCCAGAGGGTATTTGGTAATATCTTGGGAAATTTTTGGTTGTCATAACCTGTCACTAAGTTCCTGGGGCTAGCCTGAAATTGCAATCTTCCTGCCTCAGCCTCGTAAGTAATTGGGCTTACAGGTTGTGGGCACACAGTAGGTAGGGGGCAGGGAACACACAGGAAAACCCCAGACAACAATGAATTATGAGACCCGCATGTCAACAGAGCAAAAGTTATGAAACCTTAGAATAAAAAGTGTGAAATAGATAATAAAACAAGTGTAACTTAGCATTAGGGTATAAAGTAGAGAGGGAAGGAATATGTGGCAGAAAGAGAGAAATTTGAATAGCATCGTGAAAATGTGACTAGAAAGGATGAGGCATGTCTTATGTAAGAATTTAATGGAAATGATGACAGATAAGATTTATAAAGAAGGAAGAGACAATGGACAGCTCTTTACTGAGTAGTCTGTTCTAGGCTCAGCACTAGGAATTTGGAGTTTGAAAGAGTAATGTGATGAAGACACTCTGAGAGTTAAAAGACTAAAAGAGATCATTCAGCAGGTATTTACTAAATACCTTTTGGTAGTATGTACTGTTTTAGACATTGGGAATATAGCAGTGAACAAAGCACAGAAGATTGCTGCTCTTATGTAAATTCTAGTATTACAGAGAAACATATAAAAATCAATAAAAATGTTAGGTGGTGATAAGTTCTTTTAAAAACAACAAAAATAAAGCAGAGAAAAGGAATAGTGAAGGAAATGAGGATTGCTATTTTTAATAAATGGGTTAGGAAAGGTTTTCAGGTAAGTGGACATTTTTATAGCAGACATTTAGTGCATTCAGGCAGTGGAAATAGTACATGGATATGTCTTTTTTTTTTTTTTTTTTTCAAACTACTGGGGATTGACCCAAGGACACTTAACACTGAACTAAGTCCCTAGTCCTTATTTATTTTGAGACAGGGTTTTGCTAAGTTGCTTAGGATCTTGCTAAGTTGCTGAGGCTGGCCTTGAACTTGTGATCCTCCTGCTTCAGCCTCCTGAGATGCAGGGATAACAGGCATGAACCACCACGCCTGGACACATGGATAAGTCTTAAGGTATGCTTGTCATGGTAGAGATAGGCTTTGCTGGGGGATAGTTGAAAAATACTTACAAGGAAATTATATCATGTAGTGACTTGTAGACCATTATAAAGACTGGATTTTATTCAGAGATGGCACATCATTGGAGGGTTTTGAGCAGAAAAGAGATACAGTTTGACTTAAACTTTAAAATAATCACTCTGGCTGCTATATGGAGAAAGTTCTGTGGTGGGGGTGGAAAGATATAGGTCAAAGGTAGAATTACAGAAACCATTTTAGGAGGATAAAGGTATAGTCATAATCTAGGCAAGAGATATTGGTGAAACGAACTAGGATAGTAGAGTGGAAGTGATAAGATGTGACTGGATTCTAGATATATTTTTAAAAGTAGACTTTGACAGAATTTGTTTTACTATAGGATTTAGAATGTAAGAGTAAGTTAAGAATTATGCCAGAGATACTGTTGTTGTTTATCTGAAAAGGAAGGATACAGAGATGAACAGAGATTACGAAGGCTGAGAGAGAAGTAGATTTGAAGTTAAAGGACAAATCCAGAGTTCATTTCTGGACATGTTAATTTTGAAATTCCTATTCAAATTCAAATGGAAAAGTTGAGCAAGCAATTGAATAAAACAAGTTGGAATTCAGTGCAGGGGTCTGTGCTAGAAAAACAATTGGAACTTCTCAAAATGTGGGTGGTATATAAAGACATAAGATAGAGCCAGGCATGGTGGTGCATACTATAATCCCAGTGACTTGGAAGACTGACACAGAAGGATTACAAGTTCAAGACCAGTTTCAACAACTTAGTGAGAGCCTGCCTCAAAATAAAAAATTAAAAGGGCTATCGATGTAGCTCAGTGGTTTATCACTTCTGGATTTAATCTCTAGTACCAAAAACTTAAAATAAAAAATAAAAAGGCTGGGGATGTAGTTCAGTGGTAGAGCACTTCTGGGTTCAATCCCTAATACTATAAAAAGCAAACAAACACAAAACTCTGAAAGCATTCCTGGGACAGCTAACGAAGACCTACCAAGGCACAGCTCACCATATTAGCCTTCCCCTACTTCCCTTTCTCAAAATTTGAAGTATCAGAATATCTTTTGCTGTACATCTGAGGTAGCATTCTGCTAACTCTGGCTCCTATTCTGAAGACAAGTTACAAAATGAAACTAGGACAGGGAAATAGAAGCAGTATAGGTGATTTTTTGAATGTAATTAATTTAAACATTGAAAAGAATGGAGCAGTAATTTGATGACCTGTGGTATGCTAAGGTCTTGTACTAAGTGCTTTATATACATGGTGGTGTATAATCTCAGAGAAAGTAAATAACTAGGCCAAGATCACAGAACTAATAAACTAAGAAACAGAATACTGATTGCAAATCCCTGCTTTTCATAGTATCATGCTAGGGAAAACTATTATTGTGATATTCAAGAGGGAAATGGGACCATGGAGAAATGGGAGCCCCAGAGAGGCTGAAATTGCTAAAGTAGTGTTAATTGGAGGAACAAAGGTTAGAGGGAAGCAGAAAGAGCAAAAGTAGAGATGTGAGTGTTGAAAACAGAAGATATTTTTCTCAAAATAGAAAAGAAAAAGAAATGTATGAGGGTAGAGATAAACATGTAAAGGATAGTGCTGGGGGCATAGTTCAGTGGTAGAATGCCTGCCTAGAATACACAAGCCCCTGGGTTTAATCCCCAGCACTGGAGTGGTGGTGGTACTGCAACAGATATGAAAGATAGATGATTTTGAGATAATTGTGATCTTGGATAAATAAAAGATAAGGTAATCTTCTTTGAGAGAAATGGAAAGGAACCTCAAAAGGACAAATACCACTGGGAATAGCTTCTATAATTAATATGAAAGAGATTTCTTACATTTCTCCTTCCTTCCTTTACTTTCTTTTATCCCTTTTTTCTTCCCCTCCTTTTTCTTCCTCCTCCTTTCTCTTCTCCTTTTCTTTTTTCTTCCTTTCTTTCTTTTTCTTTTTGGTGAGGATTTTGCTATGTTGTCCAGGCTGGCCTCCAAGTGATCCTCCAACCTTAGCCTCTCAAGTAGTTGAGAATACAGGCTCCTACAACTCTACCTGGTACTGCCTTTCTTTTTAAATAATTTCTCCACATTACTCCCTTTATTATTCCCCTTTCCTTTATGTTTCATTTTATTTTCTCCCAAGTTCTGTCTTTTTCCCTCTTTGCTGCCTCTTTCTTCTCTCCTTTGTTTTTTTCTTTTTCTCCCTTCTTTTTTGAGCACAAAAAAAGCAGTAAAAGTGGTACAACCAACAATCTTTAGCAGTTAGTAATATGGGAAATTACTCTAGTCTGAAAAGGACGGTTATGAAGAGGAGGTGATATTTACATTGGCATTGAAGAATGGATATAATTATGGCAAACTGCTATCTGGGAAAAAGGTCATTTCATTTCAGTTTTCAGCAAGCTAGGTGCCACTGCTAAGAACAGTATGCTCTTTTATTTTCTGCATTTATCTATATCTCATTTCCTCAGGTTGCAGGAACAGAAGAACCCAGTGTGTCCCTCCAGTCTATGAAAACCCAGTGTGAATCTCCAGAACTTGAAGCTCAAGAGAAGCAAGGTAATAAAGGAAGACCCATTTTGAGAGAAGAGGGAAGGGAGGGTTAACACAGAATATTTGGGCTCTTTTGTATTTAATACTGTTTCTGATCAGAAAATCCCTCCAGGAATCTGATGCTCATGGATAGACTCTCAGCCAGGTTTCTCATTCTTCAATTTTCTTTCCTAAATTCCAACTGTATTTTATTTGAGATGACTTAACTTAGACTTTCTGATAGTTACCTTCCTTTATATTGATTTCTCTGCTCTTTCTAGGCTTGGTTCTACTAAGCAATACCACTCTCTTCCACTTGGACTGTATCCTTCCTTCTTTAGTAGATAAGCCTTTGCTGCATGATGTCTACAACTAATTCTCACATGATTCAAGAAAAAAATGTGTACCCATTAAGAGAAGGAATAATAAAGCAAATGTGACAAAATGGTAAAGGTTGGTGAGTGGATGAAAAATCCTTTTACCATCTTTATTTTTTCTTTCTCTGTATTCTTTCTTTTTCACTTAATTTTTTTTTTAGTTGTAGAGGGACAGAATGCCTTTATTTATTTGTTAATTTTTATGTGATGATGAGGATCGAACCCAGTGCCTCACACATGCTAGGCAAGTGCTTTGCCACTGAGTTACAGCCCCAGCCCGTCACTTAATTTTTTTAAATAGGTAAAAATTTTTAAATAGGTAAAAATAGCTTAAAAACAAAGATATAAAAAAAATTATCCACTGATGTTCAGTTTCCCTAATCATCTAGTTTCCTCTCCCAACTCTGAAATAAATTGTCACTGTTATTAGTTTCTTGTTTATATTATATATATTTTTCATATTGAAACAAATATTGTTTCCTCTCTTTATCACTAAGATATTAGACTCCTACATTTTTAATTTTTTGTACCAGGGATTGAACTCAGGGTTTCTTGCCACTGAGCCACATCCCCAGCCCTATTTTTGTATTTTATTTAAAGGCAGGGTCTCACTGCATTGCTTAGTGCCTTGCCATTGCTGAGGCTGGCTTTGAATTAGCAATCCTCCTGTCTCAGCCTCCCAATCCACTGGGATTACAGGCGTGTGCCACCATCCTGGCTTTTTTTTTTTTTATTATAAGGAAAAAAACACAATTAAATTAGCCAGTCTCCTACTGGCGACATTTGTGTCTAGTGTCTCACAACAGCAAACAGTGCTGCAATAAATAACTATGTGTATATCTGTAGTATAAATTACTATTATGTGGAAACACTATGTCAAAAATTGTAACTGTAGGCCTAGGGTGTAGCTCAGTGGTAGAGCCCTTGCCTAGCATGTGTGAGGTACTGGGTTTGATCCTCACCACCACATAAAAATAAATAAATAAAATAAAGATAGTGTGTCCATCTACAACTAAAAAGAATAAAAATTAAAAAATAAAAACTAATGCTGCCTTAGCCCATGCCTGTAATCCCAGTGTCTTGGAAGTCTGAGACAGGAGGATCACGAGTTCAAAGCCAGCCTCAGCAAAAGCGAGGTGCTAAGCAACTCTATGAGACCCTATCTCTAAATAAAATAAAAAATAGAGCTGGGGATGTCTCAATGGTCAAGTACCCCTGAGTTCAATCCCAGATACCCCCACACCCCCAAAATTGTAACTGTTGTAATTTTGATGGATATTATGAAATTATCCTCCTAAAAGGTTTGTATCAACTTATGCTCCTGACTATATGTGATTTCCACTTTGTTAGCACAGTATTAAACCAAACTGATTAGTCAAATCTGATAGGTGAAAAAATATATCTCAGTATTAAATTTACTTTTCTTTGATGATGAAGTAGAACATCTTTTCTTATGTTTATGAGTTACTGTATTTTCTTTCTTGGAAACCATCAGTTTTCCTTTTGCCTTGTTTTCTAATGGATTATTGATTTCTTTCATAAAAATGTGTGGAGTGCTTTATATATTCGACCCTTTCTCTCTCTGTGTGTGTGTGCAAGTGTGTGTGTGGTACTAGAGATTGAACTCAGGGCCTTATGTATGCTAGGCAAGTGCTCCCCCAGTGAGCTACCCTAGCCCCCTTTCTATTTTCTAATGCCATTTTATAGTCATGCACAAACTCTAGGTTCTTGAGTGTTTTTCATATGAATAATTTAATGTTGTCTAACGAAGTTATTGTTTACTATCACTGTTACTATTTACTATCACTATTTCTATCAATATTACTATTTATTATCCTTTTTTTAGTTTCAGATATTAAGACTGAAAATGAGTACAGGAATTTAACTCCAAAACAAAAAGTTCCTGAAGGAATGAAACCATGTGGGAATGTGTCTAGCAGATTTGAAAATGATATAAACCAGTCTGCTAAGTGTGGAGAAACTCAAAATTCAGAAGAATCTTCTGGATGCTCCAGGGAACATAAACAACCTATATGTGATGAAAATGGAGTGAGTTCTACTGAGAACTCAGATCATGCTGAAAAGAGAACCTGTCCAGGAGAAAAATCTTATGAATGTAATGACTGTAGAAAAACTTTTAATCAGCAGTCTTGCCTCATAGAACATAAGAGAATTCATACTGGTGACAGGCCCTACAAGTGTGAGGAATGTGGAAAAACCTTTCGTGGGAGAACTGTACTTATTCGACACAAAATAATACACACTGGAGAGAAACCATATAAGTGTAATGAGTGTGGCAGGGCCTTTGGACAGTGGTCAGCTCTTAATCAACATCAGAGACTTCACTCTGGAGAAAAACACTATCACTGTAATGAATGTGGCAAAGCTTTTAGCCAGAAAGCAGGCCTCTTTCACCATCTCAAGAGTCACACAAGAGACAAACCTTATCAGTGTCCTCAGTGTAATAAAAGTTTTAGTCGACGTTCCATACTCATTCAGCATCAAGGAGTTCACACTGGTGCGAAGCCCTATGAGTGCAATGAGTGTGGAAAAGCTTTTGTTTATAACTCATCCCTTGTTTCCCATCAGGAGATCCACCACAAAGTAAAATGCTATCAGTGCAAAGAATGTGGGAAATCCTTCAGTCAGAGTGGCCTTATTCAATATCAGAGAATCCACACTGGGGAGAAGCCATACAAGTGTGATGTATGTGAAAAAGCCTTTATTCAAAGGACAAGTCTTATAGAGCATCAGCGAATTCACACTGGAGAAAGACCCTATAAATGTGATAAATGTGGGAAGGCTTTTACTCAAAGATCAGTCCTCACGGAACATCAGAGAATCCACACTGGAGAGAGGCCCTATAAGTGTGATGAATGTGGAAATACCTTCCGAGGAATCACCAGCCTCATTCAACATTAGAGAATCCACACCGGGGAGAAACCCTACCAATGTGATGAGTGTGGCAAATCCTTCAGGCAGAGTTCAGATCTTAGTAAACACCAGAGAATCCATAATAGAGGTGGTCTCTGTAAATGTAAAGAGTGTGGGGAATCATTCAGTCAGAACTCAGCTCTTACACAACATCAGACTATCCATAAAAGAGGAAAATCTGTTTCTTTGTGATGGCTGCAGAGAAGCCATCTCACAAAGTGCAGGCTGGTAAGAAATACCAGCTTTTGTAATGATTTGGGGCAAAACTTCAATTACTGTTGGTATAAGAAAACCTCAGATATTTAATGAGAACCCACTGTGTGCTGCTCTTTATATTAGGTACTGTGGAGAACAAGAAGCACAACAGCAGATTCCTTTTTTCTGAAAGTTTACAACACAGTTTGGGATATGTAAACCCCACATATTGAATTAAATGAGACTACAGAGTCATATATTTCATGCTCAACATAGTTTAGAGTTAAAGTACTACTTGGTAAGTGCTCTAAATTATGAAGGACAGATTACTTCTGCCTAGACTACTCAGGAAAGAATTTATTGAAAATGAGGGTGTAGTGGGCAGTTATGGAAGGCAAAAGGGAGAAAATATTTAGGCAAAACAGATAAAAGCAGAGGTAAATGTGCATGTGGTTTGGAAGCATCAATGATGAGACTAGCCAATCTAAGAGAGTTCATTAAACTTGGGCAGTTGATGGCATTAAATTGGAAACAACTTGGGAATAGACTGGCAGGGCTAAAATATCAATAATTTCATATAATAGCTCTATGCTTTGACACAGAGCACTTTTCTCAATTCCATAAGCACCTCTTTAAATCAGTTATTCTTCATTTTAAAAATGAGTATCCTCTTCCTAAGAGAGATAGTGACATAGTTATAATAAAGAAAAGATCAACAGCTTAAATTACTGCTTTCTGACTGCTAGTCCTGTCCATTATTACTAGTGAATCACTGAATTTGATTAACATCAGAATCACTTGTGCAGTTTATTTTAAATGACTGGGGTATAGCTCATGGTAGAGTGCTTGCTTAGCATGAGTGAGGCCGTGGGTTTGATCCCCGGCATTGGGTGAAAAAATATCATGGCTCTGAAGTTTTAAGTGGGCATGGTGACATATGCTTATAGTCCTAGCTATTAGGAAGGCTGAGGTAGCAGAATCGCTTAAGCTCAGGAGTTGGACCACCAGTCTGGGCAATATAGCAAGACCTCATCTCAAAATAATAAATACTACTTTAAAAAATAATAAAATGTGTTGAGTCCTACTCACAGATATTGTACTTCATTAGGTCTAGGATAGGAATTGCATATCTTCATTTTATAGCTCTACAGTCACCTGACCTATTCTAAATTGGGAAAGTTTGCCTTAAATCACTACTGTACCTTCATGGTTGCCTATGAAGTGAAAAAACCTGAATATAGTCTTTTAGAGGGTCACTGATTTTTAGCATAAGGAAATTCTTACAGGGGACAATGGCCACCAGCTTTTTAGAATGAACAGGGAATTAGACTACTGTCATGCCTCCAAAGTAGTTTCAAGATGGCTTTTCCATCCCTTTGAAAGTAAATGTTTCCAAAAAAGAGACCTACATTCTAAGGCTCTCAAGGGTCTTCTGAGTGCAAGGCCTTGCTTGTTTTACTACTTACAGAGGTATACTGGTATTCTCTTTTACTTTTAAATCTTCCTTTGTTTCCCAGTTCTGTCAGTATCATTATGTTCTGAATTCTTGAGAACTTGTTATGATTTTATGTTTTTTATCCCTTTTTGAGGCCCAACGATAAGTGATAATGATATTAATATAATATATTAATATTAATATAATTAATGATATTAATATAACTATAATTTAGGCATATATTAAATTGGCTTTGGGGATTGGAATATATGTGACTATTTCTGAAAAGCATTACTCAACTAACAACAGAAAAGCAGATGAACTGTTGAAAAACAACTCATTTGTAAGTTGAGACAGCTTATTTAGGCTTTTTCAACACCAATATTAGAGCTGTACATGTAAGGCAGAGGCAACCAAGATTAGAAACTGTTTTTCTCTTCTAGGGAACAAACAAGAATCCCAGATTGAGCCAGAGAGTTGTGTAGCTATAAGTTTGTGAAGCTTATTCCCTATCTAAGCTTCCCTGCCTCCTATTTCTTACTCTTATGTCACTCTTCTTGTTGGAGGGGACTTTACTTATTGATGAGGACCTTTATGAATATGTCCTCCTTACCATGATTATGTTGTCCATATTCCTCATCTAATCTGATTTCACAGATTTGTTATCCAAACTAAAATTACTCTTCACTGCAACTTCATAGGCTTTCTCTTTAAACTGACTGTTCACTGAAATGTAAATGTTATTTTAAACTTGCTTCCTAGTCCTCTCAATACTTTTATTTGGCAATCTTCCAGCTCATTTTCAGCTTAACATGTACTGTCTATACACAAAAGTTCCTCTATTTGCCTTTCTGCGCACTAGAGCTCTTAAACACCTAATATAAAGGGACCATAAAGACCCAGAATAATAGAATGTGCCTACTATATAGAAAGATACTGTTCATAACTTGATTGATAATGTGGGCTTTTTGTTCTAGTTGTTTCTTGTGCAATCAGAGTATCCAAAAAAAGGATAAAGGGTATGAAATTTTCAGGTAGGCATCAAAAGGGATAAAATTAGTTATTCAGGATAATATAATGGAATTATTAATTACTATTTGGAACTAAATTGGTGACATGGAAGGCCCTGAGAGCCAAATGGAAGACATGCCATGTTAGATGTGGAAATGGAGTGCCCCATTGGGTAATGCAGTGAGCAGAGAATGCCTTTTGATGATCAAGAATACATCTTAATGGCTGGGCACAGTGGCGCACATCTGTAATCCCAGTGGCTGGGGAGGCTGAGGCAGGAGATTGTGAGTTCAAAGCTAGCCTTAGCAAAAGTGAGACGCTAAGCAATTCACTGAGACTGTCTCTAAATAAAATACAAAATAGGGCTGGGGATGTGGCTCAGTGGTTGAGTGCCCCTGAGTGCAATTCCTGGTACCCCTCTCCACCTCCCCAAAAGAATACATCTTAATGGATATGAGATAGATGTGTTGTGACAATGACAGGATCTAGGAAATCAAAGACCTTTGAAACATCTTATTATCTATATATGCTATGAGATAATCAATAATACTAGGAGGCAGGAAGGAAAGGAAGAATGTGAAATGAAACAGGTCCAAGGTTAGATGTAATGGCAGTTAATAGTAGTAGCACAACAACCAGGTAGTAAAGTAACTGGTGTAAAACTTAAATGATGAATCATGAAAGCAGTGGTTTATAATAAGGATAAAATTGACTTTCTTTTCTAATTTATTTGAAGTAGATTGATTCAGGTGTTAAAGGTAGAAAGCACCTGGAGAAGTTGGGAAAGCCAGGTTTCCAGAGCAATAGAAAGTGAAGTTAAAAATGGACTGTGGGGGCTGGGGTTGTGCTCAGAGATAGAGCACTCGCCTAGCATGTGTGAGGCACTGGGTTCAATCCTCAGCACCATATAAATAAATTGTGTCCACCTATAACTTAAAAATAAATATTAAAAAAAATGACTGTGGATGACACAATAACCTAACAATTAGGTAGCGGAAAGGGATTGAAAAGGGAAGAAGAATGCTTCTCAAAAAATAATTGTATAAAGAGGTTTCTGGAATTTGAAATATGAGATAAAACTAATGAAGGAGAGTGGGAATGAGCAGGACTCTGAACTGAGAAGTCTCAACTGTATGGTGAGGACACGTAGAGAGCACTGTATGATATAAGAGCTTAAAAAAGTTCTGCACTCCTGTTCTCAGTTTAGAAGTTGCCTCTTTGGCTAGTATCAGTAGGTAGCGTTATTATAGGCAAAACAAAGTTTAATTATTGGCTATCTTCTGGAATTGAAAAAAAGGATTTATTAACAATAATACAGGGAGGATCCAACATGGCAGCAGGCGCGGAGAGATCAAGTCTCTGACCTCTTCAGCTGCGCGGGCATACGGAGTCGTAAACCGTCTAAATGCTGTTTGCTCAGGATCACTAGGCAATGCTAAGCTGATGTGGATCTGGGGCGAACAGTCTGGGCATCTCAGAACACACACCAAGCCCGTATCGGCTGAATTCAAGCTCCCGTTCGCCTGCGTCTCGCAGACAAACCGCTGTGACTCAGCACTAAACGATCCCGCTGAAACAACTGATCGGCCCTTCTGAACCTGCGGAGGTTAATACCAACCGAGCCTTCATAGGTAGTGGCCACAGGATTGAGACGGGGCTTGGGAGAGCCAGTTAGGACCCACCCGTTGCATCGGTCACCCGGCAAAAGGAACGAACTGTCGCCATTTGCATGGGATACCACCAGGGCAGAGAACTGACGTCACTAGAATGCGGCGGAGGAGATAACTTCATTGAAACTGGCAGCGACAGGTGTGTAACCCCCTAGCCCTTCCTCTTCACACAGCGGGGAAACCTTAAGGGCCCCTCCCAGCTCTCCCGTGAGCGCAATAGTCAAACCAAGGGAATCAGGAGTGGCGCGGGACCTGTGGCGTGGAACCCCCGGCTACCGCTCCCACCAGTGCTGACAACTGAGGTCTCTTGCACCAGCTACTGGAGGCGTGGCTACCGGAGGGCAAGCAAAATTCACTGAGGGTTCTCAGCCCCAAGCTCCACAAACTTAGGGTCTGAGGGAATGGCAAACAGGGAGAGTGTGCCCAGTCGTTCAAGAAAATAGGGCTCCTGGGCGCAGCAGACCTGGCGTGTAGCCAGTATTGTGGTGAGCATCACCTGTGAGCGGGGCCTGGCTTGAGGAAAAGTGGGGAAGTGACTAGACACAAGAGAAGGCCCTAGGCACTCAGGATTGGAGACCCGCTCGGTCTGGGAGGAGGAACTGCTGCACAGTGATTGGTTCCCGTGTATTGAGAGGAGAAGCTTGGCCCGGTGGGCACAGCTCCACCTACTGGAAGAGAAGTTAATCAAACTCTAAGACTGCATTTATTAATTTTTTTTTTTAATTTGGGTTTTTTTTTTTCATTTTCATTTTTAAATTTTTTTAAATATTTTTTTATTATTTTTTTAACTTTAATTTTTATTTTTTTGATTATTTTTTTAAAATTTTTTTCTTTTCTATTTTTTTCTTTTGTCTTTTCATTTCTTTTCAATTTCCTTATTC